CGTCCATATTCTTCGTCCCCCTTCTTTCTCTTCTGCAGGAGAAAGACTTAACCAAGCGCAGTCGAGTGTAAACGACAGGCTGAAAGAGTAAAACTCTCTAACAAATTCTCAGTCCCCACATACAAGACCAACGGTGAATTCAGGTGACGTTACCATGAGTTATGCACAGTGACGGCACAGGAAGGATCAACAGACAAGAAAGAAATTGAATGAAAAATGCGAGAAAAATGTAAACACAGTGTGTGCGTATGGGCGGAAGGAAAAAGGCGTTCACCAGAACACTTTTACGGTAGCTTTTGTAATATGTGTCTCGGGGGATACAGCAGACGCGCGCATAACGAGCGGCGATAGAGAGCCCCGAGGGGGTTATTGAAAAATTATTACCTGATCGCTCTCGATTATCCTCGTCAGTTAATATGGGCCTGTATGATCACTATCGTTCCAGCGTCTCATGATCTCTGAGGTTTTGCGATCGATTGATCTTTACGAGCTCCGGTATTGGCGTATTGCGAGGAAATCTAATATCTCGAGGCGAGGATCGTTATTTCTGTCATTAAACGGAATTTATTTGTATTATGAGGAGAGCTATTATTCATATGGATATTTTTTCCGCAGAAAAAAAATTCCGACGGAAGCGATTGGTATTACGCACTGGGCGCAAGTACATTTGCACCGAGAGGACAGGACGACACACGTAACTGAACGTAATTGCTAGCTTTGGCTTTTTGGTTTACGAGAAAAAGCTGGCGAATAACGCACTTTGATGATTTTTTTTGCAGTCTTTCAATCTTGAATTCAGGACTTGAATAATGATTTTCAAAAATTATTTTCTAAAATTCGGATGGAGAAATAAGCATGAGAAAACTTTCTCAGAAGTTGAATCGGCTTGTTGTACGCAACAAGTGCGAAACACGAGGGATTTTTCTACGAAATTTGACACACTCGTTCCTAGGCAGGGAAGATTCACACGGAGAGAAATTATTGATAAAAATTACCCTACCGTTCTATAAAAGTGTATCATGAGTCATAATTTCTTCATTTTTATCCCGAAATTTAGTAAAAATTAATATATGATCAAATTTTATTCTACGTAAGAGAAATTTTATCCTGACGCATAATAAATTTTACCCTTCCAGTCCAGTGATTTTTATGTAGATAACAATCCGAAATAAAACTGACAGCCTCAAATACTGTGCTCTGATTGGCTGAAATCCGAGTGAGAAAAATAATCAATGAAATCGCTTTTCGTTTCGTTTTTTGAACAGAAGACTTTGGAGAAAATGGTTCATAAGAAAGTTATTTTCAAATCTTATGTATTGAAACACGCAACAGGTGTTCCTTAAGGGGCATAGGAACGATAAAAAATCGAAGTTTACAGTGAAATGAGAGAAAAGAATGAAGATATAACAAAAGCAACACCAACTTGAGAGATGTTTTGATGGAAAGAAATGAATGCATCTGGTGGAATGCATTCCGAAGGGAAAAACAGACATTCAGAACAATATGGAGAAGACGACGATTTCCGGGGGGCGTGACGTACAAACATGAATATTTGCCTACAGGTTCCTTTAGTGACTTTTTTAAAAAATTTTGAAATTTTTTGGGTTAAAATAAGAGTGACAATGGTCAAACTAAGGGGTCTGAGGGCCAGAGTAAGGGTCACAAGGCTCAGAATATCTCTCTATCATCATAAAAATCCAAATCGACTTCTGGTAATGAAATTTTGGTACTTGAAATTATGAAAGCAATTTTTAGAAATTCCTTTTTGTGAAAACACCAAATTACTCGAGCCGTAAGGGTAGTGCAACTTTAAACAACAGATTTTCCAATTATCGTAAGGACCAATCACAGTCATCATGAGCCAGATTAATTTTCATTGGCTTGGGTGACCCTTGTGGTTCGTCCTGTTACGTGCAAAGATCGCAGTCCAACGTATGCTATTTCACAAGTAGAGATACACGTGCGGACAGTCACGCAGCGCCGATGTATTCTCTGGTACTAGGCGTCTCGTACGCCGGTGCTACCTTGATTGTATTGTGGAGCATTGGTGGAGTGAAGGCTACGACTATTCAGGGCCCAGTTATTGAATGATACCCGGAAATTTTTGGGAAATATGTGAATAACTGAGGCAAGAGTATCATTTAGTATTCAATAAATGAAATCTTTTCATGAGAAATTTAAGTTCGTTCATGGAATTTCGTATTCATCTTGAAAACTTGTTAAGGGTGCCAAGTGAATTTGGCGATGACCTTGAAAATTGACATTCACCAACAAAGTTATAATTTTTTTAATTAATAGTATTAGACAGATGGTGAACATCGGTGACAATTTTAAAATTTTAGAACTTATGGATATCGATAAATTAAATAAACAAAATCAGTCTTATACACGGCCTCTTATGGAGTTTTGATTAAATTGAACGTTTCAACCCCCTAGGAACTCAAGAAAAATTTGAAAAAATTTGAAGATATGGGGAATGATGTGTTCAATGTGATGGCGACAAAAAACAATGGGGTACCGGGGTGAATAAGAGAGATATTTCAACCCGCCGTACCCATTTGATCCGATGCTTTCTCGAGGGTCGTCACGCGAAATAGAGGATTTTCCGCATTTATTTTCTCGATGTCTAGTTCCGGTGGCGGGTTTGAAATTTCGTCGGATGGATGAATACATATTTCTCCAATGATGGACGGAAAGAAAATTTTTTTTTAAATCTTTTTTCAAATTCACTTGGCACCCTTAAATTACAGTTTATTGTGATTTTATGATAATTTTATGAAAATAACTCACGAAAATGGTAATTATCGAAGAAATCTCTCGTTTATTAAATGTTTCAATTGAATAATTCTGGTCGATATTTAACCCTCAAGTGGTCGCAGCTCTACACCGAACGTTTTCCCTTTCTATTGTAATGTATCGTAATCAAATTTGATAATCTTGATTAATTCCCAGAGTTTAGTTATATTCTGTAATTCTTCTGTAATTCTCACACTGATTAATATTTATAAATAAATATCAAAATGGCTCAGACTACTCGAACGACAGTGAAAATGAATATTAAAATGAATATAAAATTATACTGGTTTATGTGTGTGCCCGAAATTTGATCCTAGACTTCCAAGAACTGAATATTCCTCATCCTAGAAGTGTCGTATTAATTTTATTCTCTAAACACACGAGGAAAATCGCGGCCCATTTGACCGTTAGAAACGAAATTCATCACGGCCCACCGGATTTCCCTCCGACGTTCAATCTAATTCACGTCTTGAAGAATCGTTTCATGTTTTTGATACGGTGGAACCATGAAATGCTTTTATAGTCGCTTCAACATTTTTCGTGGGGATTGGGTTTAGTGTCTCATGGAGGAAACGCATGAATTATCTTCGGAGACTAATAAATCCGGAAATCATTCGAAATTTATTCATTCACAGTGGTGCGGACGTTTTGTCCTTCCTAATTATTATATTTAATTTCTTATTTAGTTCTTAACGTCAGGATTAGGATACCGAGTCAATAAGCACACACTGCATTATTTAAACTTCGTATAATTAACTGCATACACTGATAAAAGGATTAGTTATTGTTAACGAATGGATTTGGTTGGATACGAGAGTCTATTCGGTCTCACCAAATGTTTATTCGTTAATAGTTAACGCATCTCGTTTGGAATAAATGAATCAGTCTCAGTGTAACCTGCATATACAAATCAATCAAATTTATCAGCCTCCGCGTTTGTGGATAATTCCGCCCAGAGTTTGTGGGTAATGCCGCCCAGGGTTTCTATAAGGCTGCTAGACTCTGCAGCTAGAGGGCGGTCGAGTGACAGCTCGATTGTTTGGGGTAGTCGGTGGCCACTGGAACATCGGGTAAATTCAGGATAATTTATTATTATTCACGTGAAATCTTTCTCAAAATGGAGCCAAAGAATGGAAACGAAGGATGAAAATAGGAAAAATTATAACAGTTTACAAATTATAACAGCAGACCGCATTGCTAAAAAAAGTCATCAAAACAAGGTGGACGGTACTGGACGCATGCCGGGCGGTATTACCCTCAAAGTTCGATTCCATCGCTCACTGGCCGATGGCAATTGAATTACATAATTAAATATGTTTAATGTTGATAAAAAATCTGTCCTCTTGACATCTTCGAGTGAACACCTCGAAGAACCCATTCTAACCGTTTATGACTCCTTGCAGAGTGCGCGGCTGGACAAAAACTCATTTCCCTTAGGTGGGCGGTACATGCACCAGCTCTCCTATTTTCAATGATGGCGGCCAACATTGCCTCAACGTTAAGATGGTTCACCTTTCCCTGAATATTGGTTTCAAAATAAATTTTTTCAACAACAGATGACGCAATCGATCAATCTCATGACCAAACTCCTGAGGCCAAAATTAGTTATCCTGACCCAAAAAATTAGAAATTTCCAATTTGACGAATACAATGCCTCCATTCGGAAGCAATAAACGCCAATAGTTATCCTCTAAATAAAATAGTTTACAAAGTGTCACTTGATAAACATTTACAATCAACGAATCGAAAATTTCAGCTAAAAATAATGAACGATTGCTCACAATCTCCCACACAAAATCAGCCCATTAATTCTTCATTCCGAGAAATCCTCGGGTAAAACGACTGCGTACCATCACGATTTCCCATGTACCTGCCCTTTTTTTCTAACACCCATGCATCTCGTTTCTCCCCCGTATTTCTGGCGTTTCTTCACGCGTCCCAAGACCGATTACACACCTTCCGTCGGCTCTTCTCCAGAGGCACCGCGTGTCAGTGTCAAGCGGCTTAGCCCGAGGATCCCCACACACTCGTAGAAATCGTAAGCGCAAGTGGGAAAAGATCGGAAAAAAGAGAGAATGAGACGGCGAGAGAGCGAGAGAGAGAGAGGAAAACAAGTGGCAGCGGAGTGAGGGTTTTTCGTGTACCGATTGTGGGGGTCCTGGCGAACGTGAAAGCAAGAGACAGAGTGATCGCTGCCACTGGCAGGCAGCACACGTATACAGCAAACACGGTGGCCGGATTCAAGAGAGTCGTATACTCACTCCGCAGTTCTCACTCGACCACGATCAACGATAGATTGTATCGTTTCTCTCGCTTACGATCGATTTGTATCGCGCCTTCCGGTTCAAAAATCCAAGTGAACGAGAATAAATAAATGCATTACCAGAAGCCAGACGTTATGTTGAGGGTCCAAAGTTTTAAATAGAAATTAAATAAACTGTGAGGAAGTCTATAAACCGAATTTGTGGAAAACACTCAATTTTTGCTGTTGTTCGGAGTTTATTTTCGGTTGACTATTCGTCGAGTGAATCAGTTGGATTTTTTGGATTTTCCCGGCGGTAAGGGCATTTCCTTTTCAATTAAATTATTTGAATGATTCTCAGCGTCTCCGGAACGGAATGATGATGAGGGGAATAAATATTTCGAAAAAATCGCTTTGTTAATTTATTGAATTAGTGGATTTATTATTCTGTAAGGAATTCGCGAAATCGCCTGCCGATTTAGGTTGCTATATTACCTGTTGCCTTTTGACAAATAATTATCTGCAATTAATTGACTGTTAATTAACTGTTGAAAAAATTTGGCTGAATTTTCCGGAGAAAGCGCTTAACTTTGATTTAAGGGGAATAAGTCAATGAGTTTTCAGGGAATTCTTTTGAAATTCTCGGAATTCCAGGAATTTTCCAGAGTTTTCATTACGTTTCCCGGAATAATTGAACTGAAATTTAGTTTCCCCGAATTTTCCATGAAATGATGAGTTTTTAATCACAAAATTCCTTGAAATTTCATTTCACAATTTTTAACAATGAATTCCAAAAAAATCATGAATGAATTTCTTCTCGATAAGTTGAATATTCCTTCCCGCAAGAAATAAAACGAGCCACCGATACATTTTGACTTTCACTGTTCCCCCCCCAACGTTATAATTGCGAAGAGGTTTGTCCAATGGAGTGTAATGACGCCCGAAGATGTACCGCACGGGTCAAGGCCTCAGTATCTACCCCCCTCCCTCCCCCCTAGGCAGTCATTCCCATTTGGGGCTTCCGTTCTCCCCCGTTGGTTTTCTCATAATTCTAATCCTGCGGTTTTTACACACTCGAATTACTCAATGGCACTGAAATAATCGTGTGATTGGTGTAATTACGAGAAAATGAGTGAAAAAAAATATTTTCCATTTTCTTTTTCTGTCGCCATAGTTCTGCAATTGGAGATGAGATGTGGCAAATGCATTCCAGTGATTTTTATTCTATTTCTGTTTTCTATTTTTTTGTCGCGCGACTGATCTCGTCTCGTAATATTATATATTGGCTATATCGGAGATGACTCGAGGTGTGTCGAGGCGAGAATGAGGCGGACGTCTTCAGCTCCACCTTTTCACTTTTTTTTCATATTCATTTTTTTATTCTCTTTTTCCCCTTTTGGTTTCGCTCCTTTTGATACCGCAGGAGAAACGAGCAATGACTCGTTCTACCAACGGGAATTCCCACGCCGCGTTGACATAAAAATTTTTGTACTCGGTATATCTGTTTCAGTCGGTTATTTATTGGATTTTGATTCTAATGGGTTTTTCACTTTTGTTTGGTTTTGAGGCTGAACGTGGGTAAAATTGGAATGCCGGGGGAAACGGATCCGGTGGACTGTGGGAGCACTCGCTTTTTTTTACGACTATTTTTAGAGGGAAATGCGAGCGGGGCTGACACGTAATACTTGAGCTTTTCATTTGTCTGGGGATGCACTGGAGGCCGGAGGAATCCCTTTGATTCTCATTTTGTAACCGGAAATGATTGTTTTTACAGCAGTTCCGGGGTGTCGCTCCGGGAGGTTTGACTCGTAATTTTCAGATCTATATAATCGATCTTCAACGTATGAAAAGTCTCACTCCAATAATCCACGACTTTTAAAACTCACGGTAGTCTCCCCTTAACAGCAATTATAATTAATGGATATGGCTATCCCTGGTGTCAATAGACTGTCGTAGAAATTGATCTTTTGACAACATTTTGGTTTGTATTTTTCGAAAGAACAATTATTTTGGGAAATCTATTTTTGAAGAAATGGAAATAGAAAGAGATTCGCTGGGAATAAGTTGACCTTACGTTTGAACTTGATAGAATTTCTTTCGAGGCACGGAATTCTTTTGTTTATTACAAATGATAATAGCATTGTTTTCTAAATGATAATTAGCTTGTGAGGACCTTTTGGACGATTTTTTGACCTGATGAGGGCTTCCGAATTTAAAGTACGAATATAACTCAGATTTCAAAGATTAAAATCTAAAAAAATTCTAAACGTAAGTTCATAAGAATAGAAGCCTTTTGGTTAAGTTAGCTCAATTCTTACTCGAGTATTATTGATAATAATTAATTAATAAATGCCAAAATAATCAGGACCATTACGAACTTTGATCCTCGTGAGGTAAGACGGGAGGGACTCTTAATTATTTCCCTCGATTTATTATCAATCAGCCCTTGTTCTTAAAATTTCATAGACAGTCGACTAGTAATTTTCAGAAGGGAAATATTGAATGCGATTTAGAGGGAAAAAAATTATAAAATCTCCGATTTCAGAGCAAATTCCACATTTTTAAGCAGAATTACGACAAGAATTCCTCAACTTATTAGAATTTTCTAAGAAAAAATAAATATTTAGTGTTAAGTAACGCTGAATTTCCAATTAATTGAAAAATTAAGATTATATTTACTGAAATTCTCCTGATTGCTGTTAAGTTTCAGGGAATAATTAAACTTACATTTGCGTTGCTCATTGATTATCCCATGAGATTCTGAATTATCAATGAAGAAATTCCTTGAAGTTTTAGTGAAACTAAAATGTGATAAAAATTCCCTGAAAGTGTATCGGAAACTTACAGCCCAAAAATTTTCAAGTGTACAAAAAATCGAGTTATAGTGAACTTGCAAAAATTCACAACTGCGAGATGAAATATTTGCATGAGGCAAGAAATTTTCTCATTCCCGGAAAGTTTAGAATATTGTACATAACGACGATTGGAGATTGTCTCAGATAGAAGTTCCTTTTTTTTCACTCGAAAAATTGTTTTCCTACTTAAGTGATCTGTTAAACGACGTTGCATCGAAAAAAACACTGGACTCATTTGTCTCATTGAACAATTAAAAAAAAATAGAAGCGTCCCGTTTTGTTTTTTCCATTTTTCCTCTGAAAATTGGAGACGGATCCCTAGAAATTCCAGACACTTCCCTAAAAACTGAAGAATTTTAATCACCAAATGAAATAAATGTGATCTGACTTGAGAAAAAAATTCCTCTAACTGGAGCAAAGAAATTGAATTTTTTTCTATTAATCAACTCTCACTCAAATTTTCTGGACCACATTGCATCATCGATGACTTAGAAAGTAACAGATAAAAAAAAAGATCGCCGGTAATGAGTATGGTACGATTTTGTTGGAAATCGGTAACGGTATTCTATAAAAGTATAAAGAAGAATAACGGAATAATCCAGACGGTTCTTGTATTCGTCGAAACATTAAAAGGTGAAAATACACAGTTGGCTTCGCGGATCGTTGCCGCCGGTGGGTTTTCACTGTATTCCACCGATGACGATTATTCAGATTGCGATCTTAACATGCATTTCCATGTCTGTCAAACGTAGGAAAACCAGTTGATGTCATTCAATTTATGCGTATCGAATTGATTTATCGTTTTAATGGGTTGAAGCCTTATAAGAGTAATTACATATTTACAGGTTGTTTATGGGCGGTAATGGTGAAAGGTTTTATTGGGATGAGGCTTTTAATCAATAAGTTCGTTATACATTTATCTATCCTCGTTGATTTTTCGAGATTTAATTGGAACTTTCCATCCAGTTTATTGACAGCTCTCTTAATGACTCTGTGCGCGGAACGTTTGGAGAGCCATCACTTCATTTTTTTTTCATTCTGTTTTATTGATAGTACATCGCTCCATTTGATGATTTACTCCAGTGATTCGATGCGATGATTTGAAGTGGTTGTATTTTCGAAAACAATTCCATTCGGAGAACGCGAATTTTTCAACTAAACTCTGTGAGAAAAATTTGATAAAATTCATATCTAATCGCACTGATAGAAAGGATTAGTTGTTGTTAACAAATGGATTTGGTTGAAGACGAATCTCGTTTGGAGTAAATGAGTCAGTCTATCAGTGCGGTGTCATATTAAATGGGAAAAATTCTAAGAAAAAGCTTTGAATAAAACTCTATTGATAAATAATAAAACTGTATTAATTAAGCTCTCAATAAACTCTAAAAATAAAACTCTATCTGAACTGTCAATTTATATGAACAATATTAACTGTTAGATAACTAATGGCAAAACCATTTTTTGTCAATGCAGTCAAATATTTGTTTATTGCATTCGAAAAATTGATTAACTCAATAACAAGTCATACTGATATAATGATATAACAATCAGTTGTTTAAAATGTACGTTTGCCTGGAGTAAATTTTTCATCAGTTGAATGGTATTCACGTTCATTTAATGCACGAACAGGTCCGTTTGACCAAATCTTACGGTCAGCACCACTGATAGAACACATTATTTTTATTGAGATGTTTCGTTCTTGGAACAAGTATTATATACTTGAACCAATTTCAAATAAATAAGATCTTACGATTAATATAAATTATTTCTCCTTGAGATACATTTACTTGAATCAAATAAAACAGTCCTTGGGGTCAAGTCACATGCATTCGCCACAAAAGTGGAAAAGTTCTATTTTTTTTAACCTAATATAATCTCCAGTCGAGAAATTTTCTATTTTCATGAATTGATCAAAAATTCGTACCTAGGAGATGATTACGTTGAGGAATGAATTGAATGTTGTTTTCTCGAATGAAGCCGATGTTTAAATTGAGCTTTCCGTACATCACATTCAACGAAATTTGTGATATCCAAGTTTGTGTTGAATTGCCGTAATCTGTGATTCTGTTATTGTAAACTAATGCGATTTTTTTTAGTCAAGAAATATAAACTTCTTTCAACTCAACGACATCTCACTACAATCTCAAACCTTTTTCCGCGTAACAATATTCATCCTGATTCGACATACGAAATGCTCACTTCAATTATAATTTACTTGGAACAACGTATGATCGTGTTTGATTGAGATAATAACGTATTTAGTCATGAGAATAATTTTGATTTTTCAGTAAACCAACGAATTTCTGGAGTTGGCAAACTTTCGGATAGAAAGAAATCAACTGCTCTCATTGTTGCGACAAATAAAAGGAACTTCAATTCTAGAGAAGTTCGATTCCTCCCAATCAAATGTATCTCAAGAAGAGATAACTGGTATTCACGAAATCATGTTCATTTGAAATTT